ATGTTTTCTTTATGTCGAAATTTACAATTGTCAAGCATACTAGTGTGATTCTTACATGTCCTTGGTGTAGTGAACCTTTTGATTATTTTATGAAAATATGGCAGTGGGTGTTCATATTCGAATGTAACCAATCCCTAATAAATGACAATGGGCAATAAAAATTATCAATCGTTGTCCACAAAGAAGGGGGAATTTTTCTTTAAACGCCTTAGACAAAAACTTTAGATCAGTTCGATTTTTATAGTCTTATTATTAATTTTCACAATGCAAAATATTTAAGATTATATTTATCAAGATAGTAAATGGAGAAAGGTAGCCCATCACACACTTCCTATTATTGCTTTTCCTATAAGAGGCTAGTAATAAAAAGCGCCGAAAAGATAAATTAATGCATACCTTAGCCTCCCTAATGCTTAGACCTTGAGGTGTAAACCTAATAAATGGCACTAAGGCATAAATTTCAAAGCAATTAATGAAGCCTCGCGTGAAACGGGAGTCAAGGCATGAGCTTCAAATAGCTTTATTAACAATAGACCCCAAGTTAATTTTATACACACTATAAGATATCCTGTGTTTCACTGTTTTACTTGATAACCGGTAATATAGTAACATATAAAATAAAAGTATAAATATAAAAGTATTTCTTAGTTATCGGGAATTTCATTTACTATCATAACATGTTATCACTGGCTATATTAATTGTTAGAGGGCCTAGACAATGATGCAGCGTCAGATGCCGGGACAGCTGAATCATCATCTGCCAATGCCTGATGTTCACAAAGACATCCTCTCTGTCTCAGATGAATGGGATATGTATCCATTCCCACATGACGTGCATGGCATGCTTAATAATCCAGACAACATGCCCAATCTAGATGCTATAATACGGTAGATGAATATTACAGTTGCTTCTTTTACTTCTATCCTTGCCACTGCAACGGCTAGAGAGCAGTATTATATTCTGCGTGAGAATTTATGTCCTCTTGTTGATGAATTGGAGCATGATAATGCACTAAAAATTACAGGTATGTTTCTGGAGCTTCCCCTGGCAGACGTTCTGCATTTGCTTGTATCAGAGGATGCTCTGAATGCAAGAGTTGCCGAGGCTATGGAAGTCCTGATGGGAGCTCCGTCGGCTAGCAGCTCGGCTGACCAAGTGGACTCGCATTCAACAGTGACAACCTTGTTTCTTGGGTGCCTTTCGTGGTTCCCGGCCATCTGGAACCAACTCTTTTCTAGTGAGGCCACAAGAAACTAGAATAAAGTCTTCGGGTTATATTTAGGTTTTGAATTTGATAGATCAAATACTTTGGGTTTATAATAAATATTTTTTAGTTTCAAATGATCTTTTGGATTCTTAAGATTCATGATATATGCTTCTTGTTGTTCTCAAGGATATACAATATTTTAAATTTGATGGTAAACAAATAAATATTCCCAACTGCAAATATATTTTGTACATTGGTCATGTTTTGCAGAATGATGATTCCATATACTGAGCAACATATGTCGCAAGATTTGCAGTGGATTTTGGTTGTACTGAAATTTTTAATCAGTATATATTGGCAAGGAAAGTTTCTTTAATTGTTTGAAGACTAGTTCTCTGTTTTGAATTAGAACCATCCACATATATATACACAGAGTTGTTGCCTAATCCGTCTATGATTCTACGCTATTTCCATTCATAATACAGCGTCTTATAATGCATAATAGTTGACTGATTTAAAGAGTTGGGTTATCAAGATGGTCAAGCCCTTCCCTGGTTGAATAGTACGAGGAAATATGATTAGAGGGTTGCTCAGCCATCTTTGCCCAGTGAAAATACACACGACCCAAGAATAAAAGACAACAATATCAAATATATCTTTGTAGAAGTTGAGAAAGCCCAGAGATCATGATAATATAATAACAAATGATCAAATCCCTAGAAATAAGGAATTGTGCTGATTGCTAACATCTCTAGCCTTCATGGCAAAAGCAAAACCTCTCATAAAGTATACCTAACCGTTGTTTCTCGAAAGCATTTTCTGTTTTGGTCCATTAATAACATCTTGAGCTCCACGATTCA